CCCCAAAACCCCAAAACCCCAAAACCCCTCTAATCATCTTTTTTTATTTTTGGGATTTTTAGTAATTTAAATATAATCTAATATAATTATGGAAGAAGAAAAAGGCAATCCCTTCCCGTAATTATCTATAGGTGATGTAAGATATCCTAGTCCTATGTAAGATTAGTTATCAAATATTCTTTTTCTATTTTAAAAAATATGTTAATAGAGGTAATAAGAAATTCGATTAATTGAACAGCAAATCGGTTAGAAATAGTATGGACCTCAGTGGAAGGATCCACTTCTAAAACAGTAGCCAATAAGCTGATCCTAGATTTTCTGATATTTAAATCAAAAGTACGAAATCTAGCTCAAATTAGTCTTCTTAATTTGATCTGAAAGAGTTTAATATCAAAGATATTTCAAAATAAGGAAATGAGAAAAAGTATATGAAAGAACTATAACTAGCATACCATAAAAAACCACATAATAATTGCATCCATCTAGCTTTTCTCATTAAAAAAGTTAGCAAAGAGTAATCCTCTAAGGAATCTTAACTTAATATCAAAATACTTCGAAATTTAATGGAAGAAAAATCTTACTCTAAAGGTATTTTACCAATATTAATGGCATACTAGTAAATCTGCTGTATCATATGTCTCTACCATAATCAGTACTTTTAACTAGACCTCCACGATGACTAAACTCTAAAAGTATTCGATAATAGTGTATTGTTGATAGGTTCTCTTTCATCAGTCAGTTATCACGGGGACTACTTATAAAAAGATAGAATGTTTTATGAAGATGATGTGATAAGCAAGATTGTTGAGGATATAACAAATGCAATATGCCAACTCAATTTGATTTTGGAGAATGCAACTTTGCATTAGGATCTTATATAAAGTCTACTTTAAAATACTAACTAACTTGTGGCTGATAGTTTTGTGGATAGTAATTAGTAAACAATACCTTATAAGTTGTCACTTTTAAGTAAAATTAGGGACAACTTTTCTAAAGCCATCTTTGAAAACTTTAGCATATTATCAAATATATCTAATCTCATCTAAACTGATTCTGAAATCTTTCAATTTTTCTACATATTACTCTTTGGAAATTTGAGGCTTACAATAAAGCAAGGACATAAAATTTTTGTATTTGAAAGTGGCTTGGAGAAAGACTCTGAATACTGCCATAAGTAAGGAAATATAATTGACAATTACCTGAATATTGAATTAAGACCAGATTAGGACAAAATCTTTTAGAATTATCAGGAGGTACTTACTGCATTAGCAGTGACATTCGAAGTCTTTAAAAATCTTATAGAAGAGTGAGAATTCGCTACTATCAATAAAGGAGTATTTGATTTAATTTATAAAACTTACGTATACCAAACCTAAGGGAGTATATTTCAATTATTAGCATTTCGAAGACTAAATATTTCAATAAAAATTAAAAAATATTCTTGTTAATTAAAATGCTAATGCTTTTCATTTCTCTATAATTAATTAATGTATCTTGAGGGGTTTTGGGGTTTTGGGG